TGCCGCCTCCCTGGCAGTGTTCAAGGCCAGGTTGGATGGAGCTCTGAGCAACCTGGTCTGGTGGAAGGTGTCCCTGCCCATCGCAGGGGGGTTGGAACAGGATGGGCTGTAAGGTCCCTTCCAATCCAAACCAGTCTATGATTCTATGAACTTGTACAATTTCCTTTTGTTAAAGGAATAGAGATTCTCATTTTGTTTCAGCCAATGAAGTGCTGTTAACCTTTAGGCTTTTTGAAGACTGCCAAACTCCATTCTCATCAACACAGTTCTGTAGATCACCTGCAGAGCACTTATCTTGACCTTGCAGACCACCAGAAGTCCACAGGCTACAGCGAAGGAAGTCCAGAGGTAGAGACAACCATCTTGAAAATCAAACCCCGCGTTCTGTTTGACTTGCTTGATAAGCTGTGATTCTAAAGACTGAACAAATCACAGTATGTTCTGAAAAAAATCCAGCAGTCTACCTTACAAACATTCTCATTAAAACAACTTTGTAACTGAATGCCTTTATTTATAAGGGAGAATAAATGTACGTAACAATGCTGTTGGAGGCAACATCCGTTGCATGCACACGCTTACTCTTTTATGGTTGCGTTACACACAGTCGTAAACATCGTCACACTAGGAAAGAGATAATTTTAAGATGCTTTTAATATAATCAAGAAAGTAAAGAGACTTTGGAATCCGTAACAGAATCTAGTTTAAGAGCATTTACATTCTAGTGATTTTTTATTGTACATTAGTAATGAATAATTTTTGTAAGGAAAACAGTATATCCATGTGCTCCACATTCCTGCAGCGTTAATTCTAGGTCAGGAATCTAAAATCCTGAAAAATAAGGAAAAGCATTAGCTGTTGGTATGATAGACTGAATACTTAAAATATGCTAGAAGTATAAAATAGATTAGAAACCAGAACATTATAATATTGGCACACTTTCTTTATATCTCTCTGAATAGTTGAATGCTTTGAAATTAAATCCCGAAGTCCGTACTTAGTTTCAGTGTGAGGGTTTTTTTCTGCTTAAGATCAGGGGATGACCCCTAAGATGTCAATTTACTTCTCAGTGTGTATTTGGCAGGTGGCTGGATCAGTTCTTCCTGATGTATACTTATCCTAACTGTTGGCTTTCCAAACTGTTTACAAATCTGGGATATTGTCCATTTCTTGCTGCTCAAAACACCTCTATGTTCTCTGTTCTAGGAGCTGAACATGTTCAGCTTCTGTTCATCTGAAGACACGTGAATTTAATGCATCAGGGGGAAGTTTCTGTGGAAATCTAAGCTGACTACACAGTTAAAGGCTTTCTGAGACTACTTCTCAACATAAATATTATGGCCTATTTGTATAAAAAAAATCTAATTTTAATGCAGATCATGATTAAAAGCGTTAAATAAATACCTCCTCAGCGAAAATCCACTGATCTCCTTCCATTGCGTGGCTGAAAGACAAATATTCCATAAGCACTCTGTAAAACTGCCTGGGTTCAGTAACAAAGCCCCACACAACTTGGTATGTCTAGAAATCGGTCAGCTTCTCAGATCTGTCAATGTCATCATCACTAAAGATAAACCTGAGACCAGTTATTGTTTAATGTATATCCACCCCTGGAGGAGAATTGTAGAGTAAAACCTGCTGCATCAAGATTGAAGAAGGAATCATGCCCATCTTGTATGGTTTTATAAGGGGAAGAAAGCCATGAGAAGTCACTCTAAGAGACCATTATCCATCAGGCTTTTTGCATTTTCTTAAAACATGCTTTCAGGTTGT